TTTGAAAAATATGTATTTTCAAATTTCTTTTTATCGAACGTGGGACACAATTCACTCCATTCACCTACTGGATTCCCTATACCTCAACATGTATAGGTGCTGGAAAAACTTGTTTTACTTCTTACGCTACCTGTGACCCCACCTTGGATAAGCAAAGGACAGCAGATGGATGTATGAAACTATAACCTATTCTCTGTTTTTCTGATGTCTTGGTAGAAATTCTTGTTTTTGTCGGAGGCTGACATTAAGGTCCTCATATCTATTAGACACTGTCTATTAGACGTAATGCCTACAAACTAAAGTTTACTTTAGTCAAAACCTACAAGGGGAGAAAAAATGAACAGAAAACAACAAGTTTGCTAAAAGACAGTTTTATTAGTAGACACTCATCAGCCAGAAATAACCACCGGAAAAAGGGTCTTCCTGAAATACACCATTAGATAGGCAGTGTAAAAATAAGGCAAAGGGCTTAAGATAATCTGTGTAACACATTTGCACCAAGAATAGGTTATACATTCACTTGTTACTGTAGTTATGCTCATGATACATTTCTTCCCACTTCCCAATAACACAACAGTACAGCAATACTCCTCATAATGCAGTAACTGCTTTGGCAACAGCTTAGCACAAATGATAGAGTTCCAGCAAAACCTCAACAGTAGGTAGAAATTAGTAATAAACCAAACTCTATTTCTACTACTGTTCCAGCAAAACCTATTTATTTATTGAAACATATTATGAACTGTGTAGCATAGTTTATTATGCATTGTAATTTTGCTGAAATCCACAATCAAATAAAGATCTTTACTAACCATTTGCCAACATGAAACATACTTGTGGGAGCAGAAGCACAAAGCAGAAAAATTTCTTTTATTCCTTTTCTTCAAAGGAATAAAAAGAAAAATATTTTTTTCCTTTCATATTATACCAAATTGTTGTCTTGAATATAATCTGTTGGAGCCGTTATTTCTTCATTATTTCAACCAGGAAGCGAAAACTAAAGTGTTTTGATGTTTATTGTAATTCTCGAAACCTCAAACACCTTTCAGCTACAAGTCAGTGAATGTTCACGGGAAACCAGTGTTTCAGATTCTTCGTTTTAAAGCCATGCCTTTAATCAACAGTATTTAACAACTGTTTACAAAGTGCGATTATGCGTGATTTTGTTAGTGCATTTCGTTAAGTAGCATCAGTTTGAGACAAGAAACAACAACTAAATAAAGTAAGACTAATGCTGCGTTCTGTTTGTCTAACAAGTCAGAGCTTAGAAATGGGAATGATGTCACACTGTAGGGGTGCTAGCAATACAAGACTAGAACAATGGATTTCTCCCCATTTTATGCATTTAGAGAGTAAAAGCAACACCTTCTCTAAAAGCTATTTTCACAGCACCATATGTGCCACTTGGTTAATAAGATACAACAAATAGTACTAGCAGATTTCACAGCGTCTTACATGAGGGGCAGCTGGTTAAGATACTGAAACTATAGGTTTCTTGACAAATTCCCAGCTCCACATCAAGGGGGCGTGCTTGTCCTGTTTCCAAAACAGAACTCTGGAAATCTGACTTTTCAGTCCAAACAGAACGTCCTGAAAGTAAAAATGTCCTTCAGTCCCATACAACACCCCATGCCCCCCAAACACACACCCGCAGAAAAAAATTGGAGTTAGAAAATGACTGGAGCTGAGATGTGTTATGTGGTGGAATGAAGCTCATCATACATCAGAGATACAGATTCAAAGAGCTTATTTCCAAACTTCTACATATCCTTTTTTTTTTTTTTACTGAATATGATCCTATTTGATGTTGGCAGTTTATTGTGTGCATTTCCACTGTGGGACAAAACCAGGATGCCCACTGATGCCGAGAGGATCCTGCATTAGTGTGGCGTCTTTTTGGCACAAAGACTTTTGTTCACTTTAATGAGAGATCAGATTACTTCATAGCCATTGCAGTAACTTTGAATGAAAATGTGGGGACATGTGTAACTAAAAGGCATTTTGAATTAGACTGCGTTTAAGGGGAGAGGAAACAAGTTCACCTACCGAAATTAAGAACCAAAAGTTTTCAGTAAAAAATACTACAACTGATGATTTTGTCACAGTGATCATCCTTTACAGCTTACATAGAATCACTCTATAGCTTATATAAAGCTAATACCAAAAGTTAAACTATGAAGCTGTGTCCCACAATGCAAAAACTGTTTATCTAACCAACTATTACTATTTTATATCTAGCAAAAACGTTTTTTTTTTACCTTCTTTTGAGATTGAGATACAAAGTGAGAAGTTCTGTTAGATTATCAATCTTTATTTTAAAAGATTCTACTCAATATAAGTGCAATAATTTCTGCTAATGCATTAAGACAATTACCCTTATAAAGACTTCTTTTTTTGATAATATATAACATGATTTCCAGAAGTCTCGCTGCACTGTCAGATTATTGCACTTATTTCGAGTATAATCTTCTAAAAAAAAAGATTGTTAATCTAACATAATTTGCTCTCGCTTGGTATCTCAATCTAAAAAGGTTTTTTTTTGGATACACTGGAAAAAAAAAAGAACTATTAGTAAATCCATTTTTATTGAAATAAGTGTATGTTTCATTGTTTTGAGCAGGTAAGGGAACCAATTTACTAACGGAACAAGATAAATTCCATTTAAAACTTGGTTAAATGAACAATGTTTACAGTGAAGAGATAAACATCTAATTGATACCCTGTTCAAAACTAAAATCTAAGTCAACCAATTTTTTTTGACATTAGAGTATTTCCCTTTATATTTAGCAGGTATATAATATTAACTATTTGCTAATGGATTTTTTTTTTTTTTTTTAGAAAAAGAAAAAAAGCAACCCTATTATCTTATTTCAATGGGTGTGTTTGGATCCCGTGGCTGCGGCCCTCGAAGGACCCGGCCTTCATTCTTCATTCTTTGAAGGCCGTGAAAATAAGCAAGCGGGAAGAGTTCAGCTATGTTCATCGCCATTTCCCTTTTTTCTCTAAGCACAGAGCAGCCAGTTTCCTTAGGCTCCCAATGAATCATGGGATACCTAAGGCTACAGAGGATACACTGGACTTGTCCTTCAAAAGGGGAAAAAAGGCTGCGTTTGTCGGCCGAATAAAGAGGAGTCTTTGAATCCAAACTGGCCATGGCGCCGTGCTATGATGTAATTGGCCGACGAATCTGGCCTTCAGAGGACACAGCTGCTGGATTTGAACACACCTAATGTCTACTTATCTTTGTTTAGAGTAAAAATACTTATTTCATTGGAATATCATCCTAATTACCCACTCAAATAAAAGCAAAAACACCTACTTTAAGAAGTGATATACTGATTTTTAAATCTGTTTTGTAGTTAAATCTAATTTGGCCCTAGATGCAGGGGAAAAAAGGCTAAACAACATCAGTTACTGGAAAAGTTTCCTGCGGTGGAAATGCACCCTAAACCAACAACTGCTCCTATTCATTGTTCTAAGTTTCATCCCAAATCTTTTTTTTAAAAAGCTCTCTGCTGGTGAATATTTAGCCTCGGAAAAAAACTCTTTAACAATCTACATTTGCATTACTCAAAGAGACATAGATGACATCAAATAGAGTTAAACGTACTTTTACCAAGAAGCACTAAATACAGTATATCTTGTTTTAATAATTAGGTGGATTTTAGAAATACATACAAAAATATATAATCATCTGAATGCCCATTATACAATTCTACCCAGTAGAGTCAGAAAGAAGCCTGTACAGTAGTGAAGATTACATGTGGTACATATAAAGAGGGCAGAGTGAAAGCTGTGTAGGAGATATACAATGCAGCTGATGGTGAAGTCTGGCCAAAAATCTTTTCCTTATCCATGTCAATCCAACATTTCTGTACAAAACATTATTAAAAGTAAATATATTTTTGTTTTGTTTTTTCTGCATAATGTGATGCCTCACATTTCTATTTGAAGGATTTGATTGACTGGCAAGTCAGCACCACCAACATGCAGGGAAACTGGCGACAACACGTTTTACCCTACAAGTAAAGAGATGCCTCTCATTCACACTAAGAGCCAACAGAAACCACCTCCAATGGTGAAGAAGCCACAGCACAGCTATGAGTTAGACTACATTATGTTTGTGTTAGAAGTATAAAAATGCTACAATAAGTGCACACAGCTTTTAAGCAGGCAGCATTTGACACATTTTAAAGATTTTCTACTCGCAGTAGAGTTTCATTTTGTTACCATTTGAATTTGTAAAGCCATTTAAACAGAGGTATACAGATAGCCGTCCTTCTTTAAGTCATATTATGGGAACACATTAAAAGTGTTTTGTTTTTTCACCAAATTAGGCCAATAGAGATTTAAGCTTTAATTAAAGAACTAAAAAACAGTGTTTGAAAGTTACAGGGAAATGTAGTTAAACTTACAGATTTCCTATTTTTTATGACATTTAAAGGCCATACTAAATTTATTATCGGTCCAAGATAAGTTGAGTAAGAAAGATGGTGAAAAAAAGCTGTCCAAACTAACCAGGTCCTAAGTTAAAAGTAATTGCCCCCTGAATACTAAATTGTCCCATCCTTTTGATTTGGTGATTCTTAACTAAAAATTGTAACATCCAACAAGCTTTTTGTGATAAATTCCAGGCAGGCATTTGTATTTAGAAAAAAGGGCCACCCTGCATATTTGTATTTTTGAAGGTTTTTGAGCTGAAAATGGCTTTAAGTCATGTTCCAGAATCTCAGTTGTATTTAAAGATACATAGTCACGTTATACTCCTATACCAAAAATACTGAAGTCCTTTTGATTCTGATAAAATAAGGCTATATACTCCAAGCATCTGTCCTAATGGTGTTAGACTGTCCTTTTTTAGCCTAAACAGAACCTCAGCACTGAGCATAATGAGCTGACATAAACAGATATGGCGCCATCTACTGGCAGTACAGCCGAACTACCAGAAAGCCAGATGGTGGCCAAGAAATTGCCTACTAAATAAGTTCCAACAGTGAAATCCAACACGTCTGACGGCTTAAAAACATTACTAATGTAACACCAGTAGCACTGTTAGCAAGGAAATGTTCTCACGTGTCGATTAACTTTGATATCGGAAAGCTTCCTGAACAGTCAGACCGTTTTCTCGGTGCAACTCCAGTCATCGTGTGCCTTTTTACACTTAATCTTGGACTTTTCACTTTTTTCACAACTACACTGGTAGTTTCACAATCGCTCCATTGCTTCGGCTTATTGACCAAATATACTCATGTGCAGAAATGTAATCCAAGTCACATGATGTGGTTATTGTAAATATACACAGAATGGCTTTATTTACCATCAAACTGACTAAAATAAAGCTTAAAGGACATTAAAAACCCAAATACAACGCCAGTAAAAGGTTATAATTTGTCATAAAAAGGCTATGTGCAACCACATTGAGTTAATGGTAATAATAAAAAAAAAATCTATTATTGTGACTATGTACCTTTAAAGGCACACTATGCAACATTTTTCAGTTAATTAATGTGTTCCATAACGTTTTGGATGATTAAATGAGTCATTTCAGGTTGAACAAAGGTATTCTCGGCCGCCCTGGTGGTCTGTGGGGGAAATACTGCACTTGCAATTGCAGGAGCACCGACCCGCACCCACAGGCTCAGAAGTCTCGCGAGAGTCGGTCTTGCTTTACGGCGAGAACTGCTACACCCACCAGTTAAAAGCATGCTCGTTGCTAGCACAGTGGCGATCTTTGTGCAGTGCTGCTTTCACACCGGACGCAGCAAAATCACGTCTGCTGCTTCCTTTTTGCTTCTTGTACCAGTTAGTTCTGACGCGCGGCTGAAGCAGCTTTGCTGCTCTGGCTGCGCGGTGCAAACGTGTGTCTGACGCGCGTTGGGCGGAGCTTCACTATCCTTTCTCTGCCTTGCAGCTATATTTGCTGTGATCAGTGGGAAGAAAGTAGTTTTAATATGTGTTTAAGTGAGAAAATCCACCTGAAAACGTAATCAGTGCCGTCAGTTCATTCAGATTATCATCCTGCCTTACAATGTTTTTTCTGTCGGAGCCGCTCAGACCCCCACATACCAGCGGTGCGCCGACAGTAGGAATCCCTTCATCAGCAGCCTCTGGCCGGGTCGCCTCCTCGCGGTTCACCGCGGCAGCTGGTAGGTGTTTTTCATCTAAATAATCCAAACTGCAGGCAGCAGGATAATAAAAGCGAACATATTCTGCCGCAGATTTCTGCATTTTCAGTTAATTTAGGCGTCAATAAACTGTTTAAGAGGAGCGATCATAGCGCTCTGATCATCAGCGCTGTGTCTCTCTCCCTGCCAGCTCCCAGATCAGCTTCTCTGATTGGTTGACGCAGCGCGTCGAGCAGCAAAAATTAAATTTTTCCATCTCGCAGCAGCAGCGCGTTTGCGGCACGTCAGATGCTTAGTCATTCGTTGCTTTCGCCTGTCTGCTAAGCTCAAAACAATCGCGCCTGGCTTGACGGAGAAACCAGGAGAACAGCTGAGCATATTTACGACAGTGCACTTTTACTTTCGCCCTCTGGGGGGAGCCTCGCTGGAAAATCAACACCGGTTGCATAGTGTACCTTTAAGTCTAGACTGACTAGACCCCTCAAAAACCTTTATTGTTTTGAGACATTAAAGGTGAAGTTTCTGGTGAACTTTGGGGGAAAGTTTTTCGGCTGTGTAACAGAAAGGCCTGTGAACAGATCACAAACTGTTGGTTGGGTATTTTCTCCTTCTGGAGTTATCCAGTATCAGAAATTCATTAAAAGTAGCCATATTGGTCCGGAAGCAGCCCCAGTCCGTCACACTATCACCACCATGTTCGATGATTTGTACGGTCATATCTATTCTGAAGCGCTCTTGGCTTTATGTTAAATAAAACAGGATACACACCTCCACAAAAGTCCAGGTTTGTCTCGTCGCTTTAGAGACTGTTCTTGCTCAGCATTAGTTTCCACTTTGCACACATCCCATTACTTTTTTTTAACAAGCTGTCTTCCTTTTCTTTTAGACTGAGATGGTGTGTGAAACTATTCAAGAACTTTTAGCCAATTTCATGTTGTCAAACAACTTTATATTAAAGAAAAGTCTTTGTTCTCTGGGATTGACAGTATCAGGGCATGGCTTCGACATAGTCAGTTCATCATTTAACAAATGCAGAAATTCATTTTTTGGAAATCACAGTTGGTTTAGATAGGTTTTTTCTTTTTTCTCAATGCACTTTCAAACTGCCTTCTGATTTACTCAGGATATTTTCATTTAATAAAAACAGTAGTTTTTTTAAGAGCACTCTCATTTCTATTGCCCATAACTACCTACATCTATAACAACTTCCACTTAATCTAGGATTAATGTCCATAAAGTCTAAAACTTTGAAAAAAAAACATTTTTGTCAATTTGGTACCAAATGATATGACTGATTATGTTTTTGTGGTTAAGATCAATATCACTGTATAGATGCAGATGTGGAATGTAACTGATTACAGAGCAATGGCACATGACAGATTAGTAAAGATCATTAAAAGGCTTGGAGTAGTTAAACATCAGATAGTCCATGTAGTAGAAGTCATAAACTCTCTGTCTCTCCATTAAGCTAAGTTGAGAAAAGTATCTTTCTGTGATTCCTTTAGAGGTCCGTGCATCTTTTGGATTCCTGTCTTTAAAACTAGGTAGCTTCAGGGTTTGCGGTGCTCCGATCATCCGCAGGAGAAAGTCAGACTCCTCCTCCATGTTCTCAAACTTACCGATCAGGTCGTAGTCTATGAGACAGGGGTGGCAGAGCTTGTTCATCTGCTCCCAGTGGATGTCCATTCCCACCGGCCGGTGGCCATCCAGCAAGTACTGGACAAACTCCTTGAATGTTACCCCATTGCCAGTTTGAAGGGCTTCTGCAGATGGGGTCACCCTGTACTTTGATATGATGGGTTTTCCAAACAGTTTGTGGTAGTAGTCGTTGGGATTCTCAAACTTGTCCCTGTATGCCGAGACGACTCTATCGAGGGGCTCGCGCACAAACATGAATTTTTTATAGGTTTGTAGACGGTGCATGATTTCCTTTTGGTCGTACCTGTTGAGGGTCTTGAGGAACCCTCCGTAGTGTACCTGTTCATGTTTAAGACTGTCCGGGTTGGATGCCTTCCCCGACAGCACTATAAGGGTTCTTTTCCAGTTGGAACAACCTGATTTGGGCACCTCACAGTACAGTACTTTGTATTTATCCTCCACATATATGTACTTCACATGATTAGGGGTGATTGTCCTGGAGATGCCGCTTTTATATTTTGCACACATGTTCTTCATTACCTGCTTCCTTGTTTCTACTATCCTGAAGAGGTTAGTAGAGCTTTCTTCTAGAGTAGAACCAGGAGGAGAAGTTAGTGAGACATTTTTGCTGTGAATGATCTGAGGACTTGTTTTCAGTAGTTTGCGTTGTCTCTTGGTAATTTGAGGGGAGCTGATTTCCTGCTCCTGAGAGACGGTTGCAGCTTTCAGTTTGCTCTCCTCAACGTTCGGGTGCTGCATTGGGGAGACGGGGTTGGCTTCTGCAGCTTGGAGGCCCTGATGGAAAGAGACGGAATGAAAAAGTAGCAGACATTGTTAAATCAAAAATTAAAAGAGAACACTTTGTGCTACGAAACATGCATGCAAAAGTGTACAACACTTCTTCTGCAGAGTTTTATGAAAAAAAAAAAATCTGCCACTTGATGGTGCTGTTTAACCATTGCTGTAAAAAAGGTCTGACTTGGTTAACTGCAAATGTCACACAGAGCTCAATGCAGTCCGTGACCTATCAATAAACAGAGCTGTAAGATCATATAAACACCTAATGGGGAATGTAAATTAGAATCATCTACTGCCTGATTACCATCAGATGACAGCTCAGGCCCTAACAATTTCTGACATTTTAGTTCAATTAAATGCTGTAATGACACCATTAAGCCAACGGACTAGATGTATAATTTTAGCTTTACAACAGACAACATGACGAGGACGTCATACATCTCAGGTTCTTGTCTTTTGACTTAAAAGGCCACATTTTTTTTTTTTATCTGGGGGGAGTAAAATGGGGGTTTCCTCCCTGTCTGTTTAATTTTCAAGACTAGCGAGACACTGGGAAGCTATCTGGCTGGATCCCTCTCTTTAGGGCTTGCAGTGCTGTAAGTCTCTACTTGCTGTGATGAATACCGCAGACTAAAGGAGAAGGGAAATGTACAGCCGAAAGCATAAAAACCTTGTTGATGAATCATCTGCAAGCACCACAGTCCATCTCTTTCTTACTCTTGAAATACCTGGAAACTGTGCTGCAAGTTGCCCAGCTGATTAGTCATAATGTCATTACATCATTTATTGTAATCTTGGATATTTAACATATCTTTTGATGGAAAAATTAAAGAAAATCGGCCTATATTCATCAAACTTAAGGTAATTAAAAAAGAGAACGGAAGCATCAAAGTTAGTACCTGAGAAATATTTTTGATTGGATGAATTGAGGCAAGATTGGTAGATTGTCCCTTTCTTCTATTTTTTATGATGATATTTAATGACAAACGTCTGCTTATATCGGAAATGTTAGAAATCATTCAGTAAAAAAAAAATGCATGGCTTAACTGAAGAACTCTGGAAGCTGTGGTTGACTTAGACTTAGATTTTATTTGTCATTTTGTTAACACAAGTGTAAAAACAAAAATAAATTTCATTTGGAAACAGCTATCTGGACAATTTCATCTTTTGTAAAAGTGCAGCCTTGAAAAATAGTAAAAATGACTGTTAATTTACAGTTCTAACATTTTTTTTGTTGTTGTTTGGTTGTCAGACTTTACCAGTAAAATGTAAAGCAGTTGAAAGAATAACCTGCAGATCTTCACATGTTTTCAGTTTATTTAGTAAAACCAACAAGAAAAAGGTTTTTTATAATAAAGCTTAAATATCATCACTAATTATACATCACATATCTTTCAGTTTTAAAAAAAAGTATTATACTCATGACATTGTTACTTTTAAAAAGGCCTACTTACTTATTGATAAATTTTGTGTAGTTATGGCTGTTAAATACATAAAAATCTAATTGTTTGTATTCGGCATATCACAACAGTAATATCCTTAATATTATTATCTATAGGTGTTATATTTACATGTTCAATGGACCTAGAGCGAGTTTTATGTGAAATAAAATATGCTTTTTCTGCATAATATAAAAATTATACTTTAAGGTTGTTTTTGTTTTTGCATTTGTTCCTTGTTGAAACTACATTACCTGTAGTTTCTACAAAGAAATTACGGTAAATTATTTTACCATGGAGTTTGAGTAAAAATAACAGAATATGTTGACAGAAAACAAACAAAACTGTTAATAAACAGTGTTTTTTTGAATGTCATTATTTTACAGTCATTTTCTGTCAAATCTACTGAAATTGTTTATAGTGAACACAAGCTTTGTTTATTAGCTATGTTTCTTTTTACACATTTTTATAGTATATGAAAAAGGGTGAATTTCAGGCAAAAACAGACATTGGCACATTTAGTTATAAATAGAACAAGTTTCCTTAAAAAATGTCAGAATAGATAGACTAGATATACGACCTGGACCCACAAAATAAAAAACTTTGTATATCTTTTAAGGCAAGAGCCTTCGATAAATTGTTCTTTAAGTTGGAAAATTAAAAAGAAAAATCCACAAGTTTGGATACAATGGAAATAGTTCATCTAATCTATTCCTGTTGTTGCAGGACAACTGCAGTGTTTGGTAAAAAAAAAAGATCGGTAAAGAAACATCTTATAAGACAGATCAGGAAGAGTTTTACAGATGTTAATGTGCAGATTAAAAAAAGGCAATGAGATAAGCAAAAAAAAAAATGTTCAGATGAATCCTGCTAACTTTTGGAAATAACTTTGAAAGAATTCTTATCTGTTGGCTAAATCCAACATATTTCACTATTCAGTAATGAGGGCACCACATCTGGGAGGAGCCACATATCAAACTAAGTTCAGTAAGTTAAGAAAAGTAGCTCTGAGATCAGCCAAATCATGTAATCTGACATTTTTGAAATGTATAAACTGCATACATTTTTATGACAAATAATTGCATCCTGCTGGTGTTGTATTTCTTTTTTAATCTTTTAAGCTTTATTTTTACTCAATTTATTAGAAATTAAAGCCTTTCTATGAGCATTTGCAATAATAAATCATGTGACAGGGATAATGTCACTGCGCAGGAGTACAATGGATCAACAAGTCGAAGCAATGGAGGCGAGCGAGTGTTGAACTACAGTACCAATGTAGAGGAGAAACAAAAAGAAAAGTCCGAGATCAAGTGTATAAAAATAGAAAGAAGAGGGATAAAACTAGGAAAACAGTTTGACCATTGGAGTTCACGAAAGCTAGAGCTAAAGCTCAGGAAGGATTCTGATGTTGAAGTCGATAGACACCTGAGTACATGTCCTAACAAGCAGGACAATTGTTACTGCTAGTGGATGGCGCCATGTCTGTTTATGTCTGTCAGCTCACTGCACCCAATGCTGGGGTTCTATTTAGGCTCAAAAAGGATGATAAAAACACTCTCAGGATGGATATGTCACACTGCAAAAACAATCTAAAAATAAGTAAAAGAATTCTTAAATTTAGTGTTTTTATGCTTAATTTGAGCAGGTTAATAAGGTGGTTTGCCAATAGAATCGGTATATTTACTCTTAAAATATGAAAATTAGATAAAATCCACCTGAAATAAGAGAATACTTTTTTTTTTCTTTTTTTAAATGTGAATTGTCTTGTACCATTAGCAAAGTGTCTCACTTACTTCCTTAATTCAAGAAAAAATGCACTTATTTTAAGAGAAAAATTACTTATTTAGATTTAAATCTTTTGCGGTGAGTATATAGTCTTATTTTATCATAATCAACTGGATTGAGTTTTTTTCAGACTAGGCATATATCTACCTAATATTTTGTTTCCACCTGTTAGCTTGAGCTTGCCTCAAAATAAATCACTGGTCCTAAAAAAAATATTTTTTACCTAACAGTTTAAAATCTGGAAGAAAAAAAAGCTTCTCTTGATTAGGCTAATATAGGGACAGAACTATAAAACCACATATCAGAGAATGTCTATGAAACAGTTTAATGAAGAAAGAATACGTCCTAAATACATGTCTGGAAAATGCAATCTTGGAAATGTAATTTGGGTTTCTGCTGCCTAGTGAGTCTGAAGTTTTAATTAAGTTAAGTATTTCTTTCCTTAAAACATAGACTTTAAACGCCTAATGCAGGCTGTCAGCTCTATAGTTCCAAATGTTTCACTCTTCATAAATGTTTTTCCAAGACCTCTACTTCTTTAATGAGGTTAGTGCTTCCTCTAAACCTGCTGCATCAAACCCTACATAAAAAAAAAAAAAGCTGTGTGTACATTGTAGAAGCACAATTCTAAAGGAGGACAAAGTACATTTTAAAGTAGTTCAAGGAGTTAAAAAGTAAAAAAAATAGCTTAAATATGTGTCAATAATAACTTTAAATGTTATGAAATACTTAACTGGACTGTGGTGAACATACACTCACCGGCCACTTTATTAGGTACCCCATGCTAGTAACGGGTTGGACCCCCTTTTGCCTTCAGAACTGCCTCAATTCTTGGTGGCATAGATTCAACAAGGTGCTGGAAGCATTCCTCAGGGAGTTTGGTCCATATTGACATGATGGCATCACACAGTTGCCGCAGATTTGTCGGCTGCACATCCATGATGCGAATCTCCCGTTCCACCACATCCCAAAGATGCTCTATTGGATTGAGATCTGGTGACTGTGGAGGCCATTTGAGTACAGTGAACTCATTGTCATGATCAAGAAACCAGTCTAAGATGATTCCAGCTTTATGACATGGCGCATTATCCTGCTGAAAGTAGCCATAAGAAGTTGGGTACATTGTGGTCATAAAGGGATGGACATGGTCAGCAACAATACTCAGGTAGGCTGTGGCGTTGCAACGATGGTCAATTGGTACCAAGGGGCCCAAAGAGTGCCAAGAAAATATTCCCCACACCATGACACCACCACCACCAGCCTGAACCGTTGATACAAGGCAGGATGGATCCATGCTTTCATGTTGTAGACGCCAAATTCTGACCCTACCATCCGAATGTCGCAGCAGAAATCGAGACTCATCAGACCAGGCAACGTTTTTCCAATCTTCTATTGTCCAATTTCGATGAGCTTGTGCAAATTGTAGCCTCAGTTTCCTGTTCTTAGCTGAAAGGAGTGGCACCCGGTGTGGTCTTCTGCTGCTGTAGCCCATCTGCCTCAAAGTTCGACGTACTGTGCGTTCAGAGATGCTCTTCTGCCCACCTTGGTTGTAACAGGTGGTTATTTGAGTCACTGTTGCCCTTCTATCAGCTCGAACCAGTCTGACCATTCTCCTCTGACCTCTGGCATCAACAGGGCATTTCCGCCCACAGAACTGCCGCTCACTGGATGTTTCTTCTTTTTCGGAGCATTCTCTGTAAACCCTAGAGATGGTTGCGCGTGAAAATCCCAGTAGATCAGCAGTTTCTGAAATACTCAGACCAGCCCTTCTGGCACCAACAATCATGCCACGTTCAAAGTCACTCAAATCACCTTTCTTCCACATACCGATGCTCGGTTTGAACTGCAGGAGATTGTCTTGACCGTGTCTACATGCCTAAATGCACTGAGTTGCCGCCATGTGATTGGCTGCTTAGAAATTAAGTGTTAATGAGCAGTTGGACAGGTGTACCTAATAAAGTGGCCGGTGAGTGTACATTATGTGAATAAGCAGTGACACGCCAAGCATGAAGGTTTACTGTAAGCTGCTTTTGAAGTAACTTTGTGTGACCAAAATATTATTGTATGACTATTTCATTTGTATTATGTCAGATAATGTTTTTTGATTAGATTTTTTACTTTTATGTCTTCATATTTTATTTATCAATTAAATACTGTTGCAAATAAATTATTCCAGTAACTAAGTCATAATTCAAAGTACATGTTATTTCTTGCATTAGCTGAAATGCAATAGGAAAAAGTTCCTGCATTGATCTTAAAAACATGTTTTTCAGTCTTTTGCAACTTAAATGTCTATGAAATGATATCTGTGAAATGGATTCTGCATATAAGAGGGGAAAAAATGAAAAGCAACCAGAGAAAATTTCTATTATGAGAGGAAACGAAAGTGTAAGAAAGGAGCCTGTCCTTGGTAAAGTAGGATTGTCTACTGAGTAAAGCGACTGCAGGGACAGTGTAGGGTCAGCCTCTCTACACAGATGTTATCAGATTCGCTGAGAGGTACAAGGCTGACAATCACTTTTCTCTCCCTCCAACAGATAACAAGTCACAAGAACCTGCGTGACTGTGTGCTGGGAGAAGTCATTACGTACCTCTTTGGACTGCCGTGGAGAGCTTTGGAACATCGCTCCTAGTGAGACACAAGGGAAGAGAAGGCACATATGTCAGCGCTTAAGCAGAAAGCTTGCATTTTCATCCAATCGGCAGACAATTATATTAAGAAATGGGGCGCTAGCAGTGCTAAGGTATGCTCAGGTCATAAACAGCTGCAGTTGTGTAACCTCTAGTTTTCAATCATACAGTTTTACTGCAACCTATTGCTGTGCACTGCCAGTAAAATGGCTTAAAGGAGTCTTACATTTATTTATGTCAATTTAAAACATGAGTAGTTTCATGAAAACCTTTACAGGCATTTTCCATACATTCCTCGAGTTACTGCACACAATTTTTTTTATTTTATTACAGATGCAATGATGGACACACTAAAATATGTAGCACTTATGAGCTCTTATTTTAAAACATTGTGTTTCCTAGGCGTTTTATTACATGTTTGTGTACTCTCAGTGATACTCTCATCTGCCCATGCAAAGTTGTGACTTCATAAGCTTTTATGATTAGGTACTTCCCATCCCTTTGGATTTCTTCTGCTCAAACTTTAATACAAAATGACAACTTGATGATTACTCAGGTAGAGGATTGGTGACAACATGATCAGTATTAGGGATGAGCATGCAAAAGTGTGAAAAAGATTAGTCGTACTCAATGTGGAGGCAGAAGAAAAACACAATAGTAAAACGGATGGTGACTGAACATGCAGAGGGCCAAAAATTGGTGAGGAAAAAAGGTAAAAGATCGAATTTGCTGTTTGGCGATGGAGATGGGGAGAGCGTTTCTGTGTCTCTTTTGGGACAGGTGCGATGTGTTTTGGCAGATGCGCGGCAGACAGACAGACGATGCGTTTAGTGGTCCTTCTCCAGCTGGACGTCTTCTTTCCTGAGGTTCTCCCATCATGCTGATATGTAATCAAAGTGACAGCTCTGAGTGGGGCTGCATGGCTGTTGATTTGGGGGGTGGGGTGGGGGGGTTGAAGACACCTCTGGCTGAGTGGCTTGTCACTTCTAATTTGAGGGTGGAAGTGATAGGAACCTGCATGGTGGTGGTGGTGGTGGGGCTTTGGGGAAGGGGGGGGGGGTGTTGACGCAAACCACAAACCTCCCTTAAGAAATGAGATGTGCACAACCCTAACGTACACTTAGACACGCCTCAGTGGGGCAGGAATAAAACATGTTGCTCTGCTCTGGGTTTAAATTAGTATGCGCTGCCAACCCTGCTGTTGCTGTGCTGCGGCGGCGCTGATTCTTTGTCGCCTTTTCTCTGAACAACAACTACAGAATAGAGAAATAAAAGAGAGGGTTTTCTGAGGGCTACGGCCTTTGACATTGTCTCGTATTGTTTGGATGCTGGTGTATTATTTAATCACCTCACCCTAATGGCAGTACACGCAGGCTGTGCATCTTTGATTTCAGTTCACATTTCCACACAGGGGAAACCATGCATATTTATCAGAACAAAGATACCATTGCCACGGAAGCACATTAGAGAGCAGTGAAAGCGACGATCTTTCTGTGTGTCTGCTGTCATGAACAGATAAAGCCGATTGTAGCCCAGCAGAAATGATAAAAACACATGCTTGGATATTGATCTTTGGGAACCCTATCAAAGCGGTAATTGAAATCTCGATGGATTTAACAGGTTTTGTCTAAAACAGCTTGTGTCTGCTCCTTTTTAAAGGTTTCAATATGTAAACCTTTAAACATCACAAGGTTTTACTCAGAGCTCATGCAGTACATTACTAATGAGAAGTTTACATCCAATTATTCGGAGTGTTACTGTTACAGAAAATCGCGGGTGTCAGAAAAGATTTGTAAAAGAAAAGAAAAAAAAAGAAAATGTCGGAATTTATTGTGGATTTTCTTCAGTTTTCTCAGGTATGAAAATAGATAAATAAGTCCTGCCATTGGTTCCCCAATTTACTAAATGAACTTGCTACAATAAAGTGCCATGAAAGATCCTAGCTATGTTATTTAGTTTCCTAAATTAACTTTCATGTATTATCTATATATTTTTTAAAGGGTTGAGGTTGGAACACGCTACAGGTGACAAATATTCCCTTTTATTTATCTAAAACCAATTTCAACTGAGTTTTTGCTCAAGGTCCTTCCCTTAACCCGGCTCTGGCCAAGTTTAAAAACCTACATGTTAATTTATATAAAGTTTGAGTTTGTAGCTCCCTTTGTTTAAATCAGACCATGATGCTACGACCACCATGCCTCACACTTGGCACAGTGTTCTAGGGTTTAAAGAAACTCATTTTGACCCCTTTAAAACCTGCTTCATGTCATGCTGATGTTAAACTCACCTTAGTGTAATGCATTACAACAATGTTTCAGGTGCTTTTATTCAGGGAAGTTATACTTTGGGTTGGGTTAAAGTGACACCATGTAACTTTTAGCCACTAAGCTAAATAGGCGACTTTATTTAGGGAGCCCAGATGGAGCAACAATATGCATCAAGTGCTGCTTACCAACCTGTAAAGTCATTTAAGACATCTCTATCTAAGCAAAGCCTTGATCAAAGGTTGTGCAGTGTCTGCAAAAAAAAGCTTTGAAGGGATAAAATAATTCAAACTAAGCTTCAAATGCTAAATTATAAACTCAACCATATTGAAAATATATAACCTATGCTTAAAAATTCACTTAATTTGTTTGTTGCACAATCACTCCATCCTACTAAAAGCATAATAAAAAGGCACCATTAAAAGCCCCAAATGAGTTTAATGTCATACATGCTTAGGGTGAGAGAGGGTAGACTTCTGATTTCAAAATAGAATGATGATACTTCGGCTCTTTAAAAATCAAATTTTTTCTCCATAGTAAAAAAGGGAACAATTTGAATGAAAAAGAGACAATCCTAAAAAACAGAGCTTAACATTTGGGCCACGATTGTCCCATTGGCAACAGTCTGAGTAGATTAAGTCATTTAGAAAATGAACCCGACAGAAGGTTGAAGACAGAGTTGGAAATGCTGACTCTGACAGAGCAATCCACTCTTAAGTTGGGAACCAAAATTACATTTCATGAGGGGAACATTTGTTTTATGACAGAGCATAAATGAAACGAGTTATATAACTGAATTTCAGGGGGATTTGTAAACAGCATCTTTTTCTCTGTACCATCCACTTGGTGTGGCTAATAGTTTCCATTTGATTGCAATTTCACACTCAGTCAATTCTACTCAGTATAAGTATGCTATTGATTTTCAGCACTGTGCAGTCAAAGAGTAATAAATAGTTCAAAAGAGAAACTTAATCGTGAGAGAAACAGCAATCTAGGCTTTTAAATTTGTATAGTTGTTGATATATTTTTATTTTGTTGTGCAAAAGAGGACCAAATTATATTTTTTCTTTCTGAATGATTTTGATTATTTAAACAAAGGCAACAGCAATTTAGAAACAAATAGGTAAAATGGGTTATTGACTATGTTAAAATGACTTTAACATGGTTATAAAAATCAACTCATCCTCATACTTTCTCAGAAAAATTGGGTCTGAAGCATAAATGAATGCTTATTTCTTTCCAAAAACCTTTTTAGTTATTAGTTATAAAGAGATCACTTTAAAAAGTGAATGAAGACTGCAGAAACAGGGCTTTAAAACTAAGATTAGCCTAACAAGCTAAACATATTATTACCACAGCTGTCCAAACACGGTATTGGAGCCTGATGAACCTGTTCAGGTTTGGCCATGTTTGAGAGTTGTTTATGTTTTCAATATTTTTCACAGTTTTTTTCTAAAGTACATAAATACTGACTGGACGAGGTGAACTGAGGCTGTTCAACCAGCTAACAGCAACATTTAGCAATGGGAAACTGCTTCATGTCATACAGACAATTAGTTAAAGGGAGTCTAAAATAAGTTAACCAAAAGGAGGGATTTCTTTTTAATGTCAGTGTTAGAAATCCAGTTTGTGTGGGTTGTGTTTTTGTGTCTTTCTCTCCCTCCACCACTAGGTGGAGTCTTTGTTTTTCGCTGAGCCTAACCTAGTTTTTGTCTTTGCCTTTTCGGCAGGAAGCCTTCCTGCATGCTGGATGTTAGGCCTTCTCCCCCTGGAAGGATTGTTTGATTCTCACACTGAGCAGGGGATAAACCTCCACAAGTTCTGTTCAAGTCCTCCTGTATTCCCAAGTGACAGTCCGCTCAATAGCTCCTCAGGGTCTAACCAAGTCTACACCTGTCTGCCCTCCAACGAGTCTCAACCTCTGGAAAAACCCACACCGACTGGATTCTGGGAGGAAAGTTTTCTCCACTAACGTGAGTCCCGTTTTCTCTGTCTCTCCAAGTCATCGTTCAAAGGTCCCACGGATCCTGAACTAACCACTGATACTTCCCTTCCCTCTTACAGTTCCGGTTTACCAGTTCACTGTGTTTCCTGAATCCAACCCCGCTTGGATTCAGGAATAAACCTGTTCAAACTTTTACCCCTGGTTATCTGAGTGGTTTACTGCATGTGGGTCAGATCTCTCAAGAAAATCATGACAGTCAGAACATTTCATAATAACACAGCATAACACTACCTCCACATTTATTGTTAAACCTTATTATGTTTCCAACCGTCACGATCTCTTGTTTTGTCTTGTATGGGAAAGTCACAAATCTTAAGTTTATAGGTAAAAACTTAAAAGAAAGACAAATAACTATTGTATTTAATTAGAGAAATTGTGTCTTGGCCAAACTAACCGTGTGAAAGATAATAAATGCATTTTTGTTTAAATTTCACAGACTCCATGTAAGCTCCTATACAGCCAGACCTCTATAATCACTGTTTGACAACAGGAAGTAGGCTAAAACATCTCTAGATGCGGTTTTTAGGCTCTGGTAGAAAAACCACAGGGAGAGGCTAATGGAGAAAACATTGAACAGTGGTAAAACCTCCCAGGAGCAGTAGGCGTACTGAAATTACTCACAGACGACTCTAAAGAAACCAGATCAACATCTAGAGCACAGCAGGCCTCAGATAAAGTTGGTTTACATGATTCAGCAGTAAGATAGAGATGAGAAAACAATGGTGTCCT